TAGAAGCCACGTTCCTGGTGGTCGAAGCTCTCCGTCGAGCCTCAGCAGCGAGAGAGTGCGAGAGGGTCGAAGAGAATCGACGGCGGTGGGTGTGCTGGTGACAGGTACAGAAAGGGGCCCGTCAGATGGTACATACATTGACAGGGAATTGGGGAGGGGGGTGAGGGGGGTTCCGTGGGGCTTTTTCGGTTGCACCCACACACGGTGAGAGAGCCAACAAGAGCCAACATACCTGTCGATCATCATACACCACACGGAGGAGGGGGCTGAGGTTACAATGGGGAGAACAAGCAAGTTGCCGACATTGCGTCTGATCCTGCTCGTGTTGTGCGGGCTAGCTTTCTGTCGCACCAGATCCGACGCAGCTACGAACGCTCTATTCAAAGGTGCGAATATTGATTCCCGGTAAAATAGAGACCCGAGGTCGTGTGATGTACAATATGCATGCACATCTCTTCCCACCATACCTGCAGTAGGCAGGCAGCAGGGGGGAGTGCGCTCCTACCAGCAGGCAATGTTCATGCCTAGATGTGTGCCGGTGTGAAAAACTTGTCTGGCGCTTTGTTTCGATCTGTCAAGTCGACGCCAACAGGTGGACGTTAAAATTTTGTAGTCGAGAGACTGGCTCTCTCTCTCAAGTCACCTCGTCACGTCACCACCTTTCCAACAGCCACATGTATACATAGACCCACAGCCTGCGCCGAGTGTTGATATTATGGGAGCACAGCAGCTTTAATCCACAGCTGTTGTGGCCCCTACTGCCGTGTGCGAGTGTTTCGTACCCCTACGGGAGGAAAAACAAGTGTTCAACTCCCAACGATTTCCTTTTTTCTTATTTTTCTTAATATGACACCACGAAACCATCTCCATCATAGAAAAGAGTCTGAGACAGATTAGCAATGGATTCATAGCGTCAGAAAGTACCTGTATGTCTACGATTTCCCAGACACCATATAGGGACATCTCCCCTGCGGGTAACAGGCTCAACAAGACAGTTTGGTAGTTGTCTTCATTTTGTTTCTTTTGACCCCGAGACTACAATACGCGGCGGGAAAGGGGGAACTATTTGTTGACTGTAAAGTAAGGGCTGGTACCTGGTACATAGTCCCCTACCCAGTCGGTTTCCCTGCACTCACTGAAAAGCTCCACCACATCCCGTTCGACTACTGTGGGTATATCTCGAATGGGTAGTCTTTCTGTGTGTGTTTTTATTATTCCTTAATTTTTCAGGGGCTCACAGGCTCACAGGGGACTTGACACAAACGGCAACCAAGGAGAGCAGGAGAGAGATACGCATACATGTTCTGCTGTGGACTGAATGCGATAGAGGTGGATATCTCCGTTTGTCATTCTATTGGCCGTTCCCTTGTACTGTATTGTGTTTTGCCCTTTTCCACTACTACATACACCACCTCCCCAATTATTAAGGAAGAGACTTTCAGCACATCCCTTTCGGCTGAGGCTATATCTCGAACGGGTAGTCTTTCTGTGAGGTTATGTTTACTTTCTACCAATGAATACACGCACAGAGAGACTACCCATTCGAGATATACCCACAGTCGAACGGTTATGTACAGCAGTCGGTAGCATGTGTACGTGTTTGTTTCGCACTCTTGAACCAACGGACTTTAAGGGCGCCCCCAGAACAGCAAGTTCGATGTTGACTAATTTTGAAACCATACGCAAGAGCACCAGAAACTGTACAACAGGCACACAAGACCAGTCGGAAGGCATCGCAAAAAACAGAAATCGTTGAATCCCGCACAGGGCGACAGTAGAGGCTGCAAAAAACATACATTTCACGCGTCTACCTCCGCACGCCCCGTTTGAAATCAAGATAAAAATTCGCCAAAACGGCAGGCGTTCAAATAAGGTCTGTGTTGACATGTACCTGGTAATTAGTACTGTTATCAGTAGAGGACACCATGAAGAGGCTTCGTGCCTGCTGGCACGTTCAGGTTTGCTACTGGAGCTGAAATATCGAAGGTTGCAGCAGTCTCTGAAAACAGTCCGAAATCTGCGCCGGAACCAGGCGGCATCCAACATTTGTCACAGCCGTGCTCACCGCCACGGACCCCAATCTCCTGAACTCTGCGTTTACAGCAGTAGCTGATGCCACTAGCTACTGCTGACGATCCGTGGTTCAGGGGTTTACGGTCCGTGGCGGTGTGCACGGCTGTGACAAATGTTGGATGCCGTTTGGTTCCGGCGCAGATTTCGGACTGTTTTCAGAAGTTGCTGCGACCTTCGATATTTCAGCTCCAGTAGCAAACCTGAACGTGCCAGCACGCACGACGCCTCTTCATGGTGTCCTCTCTTGATAACAGTATTAATTACCAGGTACCTCCTGCGGGAAGGTTGTTTTCTTTCTTATGCTGGATTAAAGTATGAGAAAAGAGCTAGCGTCAAAACCCCTGTTCTGGGGGCCCTCAAAGACTAACGACCAGCCCGGGGTGATTAGATTAAATACAAGCACAGAAAGACTCTACCCGTTCGAGATATAGCAAGTTGGATATACCCACAGTCGAACGGGATGTGTTGGAACCTTTTCGGTGAGTGGAGGAGGAAAAACGGGCTGGGTACACTACTGGTCTTAATTCGAGTCTGTTTTAAGCCTGTACACTGATGATTTATATCAGTGATACCAGCTGGTGCTAAGCACAAAAACATCTGTAAAGGTAACCTACATTTTATATGCATCCCCTGTAGTTTATCTACTGGTCCGACGACAAAAACATCGGAGACAAGCCCTTCGATGTAACCTTCACAGGGAACACGGCGCAGTGTCTTTTGACAACTTGCCGGTGATTAAGCTATTTAGTTGCTATTGTGGATACGATTTTTGGACAATTAGTTGTAAATCCACGGAAGAGACTGCTAGGTAATTTTGTATCCACAATTTGAACTTTCACAGTAATGCATTGCCGACCAGCGGTAAAATTGTAAAATTGAAGTTCAGTGTTGAGCCGGGTCACACTACTGCTGTAGTTTCTTGCTTCGAAGTACAATTTTAGGAACAAAAAATGGTGCAAGAATAAATGGTACAAGAATGGTCGTTGCATGGACCATCGGCGACGACCATGGTTTGGTCCAAGTTTTTTTATCACGATGGACTCGTGGGAAGCACCCACGTCGTTTTGATGATTGACTATTAATACTTGCTTTCGACCAAGCTACCTCTTGGTCTCCTTTTTCGCCGTTTTCAAGGATCGTTCGTTGCACGTACTTGCACGCGAGGTCGCGCGAGGAAGCAACAGCAGCAGGAGCAGCACCAGGAGCGGTGCAGCAGTACAGGCAGTACGAAACGAGAGCGTCACCCCCGCATGAAACTTGCGGCGAGCGATCAAACACGTACATCTCCGGTACCACACGCATGCCGCAACAGAATAGCCGAAAATCTTGATACCGACGGAAGTAACGCAGTGAAAGTTCTACATAGCCGCAACTGTTTTTATTGGAGAAAGACGTTTGGCGTTGTTTGGCGTTGTTTGGCGTCGTTGTTACACCCGGCAGGCCGAACTGGCACCACCACCACCACCACCACCGGTGGTTGTTCGCGCGACCAGGCGCCACACGTGTCTAGCGCGGCTTCTGCACTCTCTCGCGAAAGAATCTCGCTGGCCGCGGCCACGGCTACTGCCGGGGACCTGATCCCGACATCCCCGGAGGAGGACGACGCCGCCGCCGACGACGACGACGAAACCCCGGCGGCGCCGCCGCCGGAAAAAGTAACGGCGAGAGGAGAAGGAGGAGGCATTTCTCAAGAAGGAGAAGGAGGAGAAGGAGGAGATTCCCAAGAAGCCGCGGCCGCCGCGCGCGCCGCCGCCGCCACCAGCGGCGGCAACAACAGCGACGGTGGAGGAGGAGGCGGCGGCAACAATAGCGACGAGGACGACGACGACGACAACAACAACAACAACAACAACAACAACAACAACAGCACCCTTCAGCGGGACTTGCGACCAAACGATGGCCCCGCTGCCGGTGTTCTTCCGGACACGGACGCAGACGCCGGCGTCGACAGCCCCGCGGCAGGTGCAGGCGGAGGAGCCAGCAGTAGTGGTAGCGCGGCGGCGGCGGCGGCGGCGCTAGCCACGAGGGCCAAGTCTAAGGCCGCCGAGGCCTGGGGCAGGCTGGAGGTTGGCGTGGAGCGGGCCATCCACGTCCGCCGGGAGGTGAAGGCCGTCTTCTCGTCGGAGCTGGAGCGATGTCTCCTCAAGGTGAGGCGTTGACAGCAGCAGCAGCAGCAGCAGCAGCAGCAAGCGTACACGCCTAACGTAGGCTTGGTTCCGTACCGTACCGCCTGTGTCGCCGTTTTTTTTTATGCGGTATTCGCTTGTGCGGCAGTGTCTTCGTTCGGCCGCGTGGTATGGTGGTTATCTGGAAGTTTTTTTTTCGGGCACCGGGCCGGAGGTATAAAGGTTCTTGGAGCGTTTTTCGTGATTCACGGTGCTTGCGTCGCTCGGTTTTGGAGGAGAGGCGTCAAGAATCATTTCCGATGTGTTTCTCGGTCTTAGGTCGATGGGTCGACTACTGAAGACGAGAATTTTGAGTTAGACCGGACGAACGAGCACGTTTTTTTTTTTATATATGAGATTTTGGTTCGCATCGCAGACGATCGCTCCGGGAGAAACACCACGCCGCCTGTTTTGATTTTCTTAGGCCGTAGATTAGCTTGGTTTGTAGGGTCTCTGTTTTACGACGCCGTGTGTCCCTGTGTGCTGGAGGGAAAGTCTGATTTTTCGTGCATGTGTTGTGCATGCGCGCCCAAAAGTGGCGTAGAACCTCTCGCCTTACAAGGCGGCGCCGTGAGTTCCGTCTATGCCTTGCCCTCTCAACCCCGACTTGTGGTGTACCACCCTGTGCACGGCGGCAGCAAGGAGGCACCGCAGTTCGTCATGTCTTCACCCTCTCAAAACGCCCGTGTGTGTATGCCCCCGAACCCCGCTTCCTCCGCGCAGGCGACGAGGCCCGAGAATATCGCCGTGGACGAGGATTGCATGCTGACCCTGCTGACCCAGGCGAACAGACTCGCGGTGAGATGCAAACCGCAGCAGCAGCAGCAGCAGCAGCAGACAGAGAATGAAGGAAGCGCGCCCTCAATCTTATTTTGTTTGTGTCGGTATCACTCGCTCCACCACCGCTCTCCGTCTTGTTTGGGTGCGGCAGCAGCTTTGTCAGAGGCCGAAAGAGAAACGGCAAGAACTTGCATGATGAACGAGTGGCAGGCATGAGGGAGGCAAGGAAGGGCCCCGCGCGTCATGTCCATCATACCCATATCATCATCCATGCAGACAGCAGTAGCCTGCCGAGCACCCCAAGCATCTCTGGAGTTTGCAGTAGTCATGGCACATAGGTCCGAGGTCCTCTTTTCGCACGCGTGTTGTTATCCCATCGTCCTTTGGCTGCACCTTTGGCGTGTACTGCCCTTGTGGCATTCTGCCCTTGTGGATATATACAAATAAACGTTACCGACCCCCTCCCCTTGCGCGTAACCCGTATTTTGTTCTGGGCAGGCGGTAAAGGCATGTTGCGACTGCGATCCCCACGAAGTAGTGTGCTCCAAGCTGCAGAAAAAGATCATGGAGCAGGACTGGCGCACCGTGGTCAAAGCTCTGTAAGTGCTGGGCGCGCGGGGGGGGGGGGGGAAAAATAGGGGGCGCTGCATACCTGCAAGGGCCTTATTTCCACTGCACTGACCAACCGACGTGGTATGTGGACTACTGTAACGGCCGAAAGGTCTGTGTGTGTACGGCAGGGAACAAACCCTGTCATGGTGCCTGCGGGGGAAGGTGGGGGGGGGGGGGGGGGGAAAACCTAACCCGGCATGGCCAAAACCTTTGAACCTTGGCCCCCCCCCCCCCAAAAACCGGGACGGAACCCCCCCGGGTTTCCCCCAAACAAGGTTCC